CCTATAGGATGCACCCTACGCAGATGATACCATCTGTTGAAAACACATTGTTACGGTTTGTGTGTAGTTGTCCCCCCAAAGCCTCATGCAGTCTGTAGCAGGGCAGCTTCTGGAGTTTGTGATTGATTATTGTGGGTGTGGACGCTGCACTTGCCCTGGGGCAGGTAATTTGCATTACAATGTCAGGAGGGAAGAGAAGCTAGCTGCTTGAGCTGCTGCTACTCCTTTTGCGCTCTTGCTCTTTGCTGCCGCCATGAAAGGTTGCTCTCTGTCATGTGCTGCTCTGCCTTGGAGCCAGCTGAGTGTGCACTGAAACCTCCAATAACTGTGAGCTAAATTTTCCCTCCTTCATTCTGAGTATTGAGTATTTGTCCCAGCAACGAGTAAAAAGTAAGACACACATCATACAGATTTTTTTTCCTGAAGTATGTATATTTATTTTGGCACACTCTGTGTATACACTATATATATCAAGAAGTATAGTATATACTCACACAGTAGAATACTTTTCAGTCAAAGGGGGCCTGCCCCTTAGCTCATTTCTTTAAGTGGCTGCTTCAACAAAGCAGTCAGGCTCAGGTTGCTGTGGTTCCATCCCCACAACTCAAGCCAGCCAAACCTGCCCTAAAGGCATTCAGACCAAAAAAAAAAAAGAATACCTTTCAGTCAGAAAAAGGAGTCAAATACTGTACTGTAAATGTTACTAGAATAATGAAATGAACTTTGAAAAAATATAGTAAGCCACCATAGACAGAAGTCACAAATTGTTGGATTCCATTTATATGAAATTTCCAAAACAGGTATATCTATGTAGAATGAATACAGATGGGGCAAGTATTAGGAACAGAGTTTAAGGGATGGAAAGCAATTGCTTATTGGATTTCTGCAGTGATGAAAATGTTTTGGAACTAGATAGAAGTAGTCATTTTACAACATTGTGCATGTATTAAGCATCACAATTGTTCACCTTAAAGTGGTTAATTCAGTGTTATGTGAATATCATTTCAATAATAATTTTTTTAAAAGCTGTGGAAATGCTTTGTATTGAACAGCACTAATAATATATGAAAACTAAATGGAAGAGCTGGCAAGATAGCTCAGCAGACTAAGTGCCTGCTTAGGCAAGCACAGGGACCAGGTTCTATCATGCCACTTAGCCTACCCCCAGGCAAGCCAGCTGAGCTGGACACTGAGACTGCGTGCTGGGAGGCTGAAAACAGGATCTCTGTGAGCTGGAGCTGCATATTGAGACCCTGTACCAAATACATTAAAAAAAAAAAAATGAGATACCTGATACCAAAATGAATCCAAGTAGTGTAATAAGGCTCATAAGGAAGATTGCTTTTGTTTTGTTTTTTGAGACACCATAGTTCAGGCTGGCCTTGAACTCACTGTATAGCATAGGCTGGCCTTGAACTTGTAACAGTTTTGCCTCAGCCTCCTGTGTACTGGGATTATAGACATGTGCCACCATAACCAGCTCTGTAAACTATTCATATGCTTGTTACTTCTCTGTAAATTATTCCAAAGAAATGTTGAAAAATCCATACACTCATGAGTTAGCTTAATAAAAATAGCATCATAAATGTGAATTAACTTATGTATGCTTACATTCTCAGAGATAAGTATTGTACTGAATTTAATGTTATTCTCGTATATGTCTTTTTTATATGTATTTAGGACAGGGTATACAGAGTCTACAGGGTCTCACTACATAGATGAGACTTGTAGTAATTCTCCTGTTTTCAACCTCCCAAGCACTGGGATTACAGGTGCTCACCACCACGCCTAGCCTCAGTCACACTAGCCCTAGCCTTCTCTTATTCTTGTCTCAACTCAAAACTAGCTTTGACAGATGGGCCACAATAAAACACCTAAGTAAGGTTCATGTTGTCTCAAAATCCAAGTAGGTCTACTAGGGCCTCTTTTTTGAGAGCCTCTTTTTTGGTTGTATGAAGAACCAGATGCAACAACTTGTCTTTTGCCTTAGAAGGGTTTTTTTTTTTTTTTTAAAGGAAAATACAATAAACCAATGTTGCTATAAATACAATAAGAAGCCTCACGTTAGTACCTTTGATCAAATAACATTATTCAGATCAACCTAACATGATGTAATTTTCATGTGATGCATGAAAATCACATATATTCTTGCCATAAATGAATCTTTCATGCACATATGTATCAGTAGATTCTAAAATAATAAGTATAGGTTGTGCAGTAGTGCCAGCAGCCTTTCAGTTGTATGCCAGCAACTGGTAGCTGTCATTTGTGCTGGGCTGTGTGGTCAGCCCTTGTCAACAAGCTCGTGGAAGCTTGAGACCATTGCCACCCTTCTGACTTACCAGGGGAAAAATGGTTGAAGCAGATCACCGAGGAAAGCTCTTTATTGGTGGGCTTAATATAGAAAACAAATGAGAAAGCCCTTGAAACAGTGTTTAGAAAGTATGTATGGATAGTGGAAGTACTCTTGTTGAAAGACTGAGAAACCAATAAATTAAGAAGATTTTGGGAATGGGGAGAGGGCTCAGTAGAATAAGTGCTTGCCTGGCAAGCTCAAGGGCCTGAGTTCAATCCCTGGTTCCACAAAAAAAAAAAAAAAAAAAAAAGGATTTGTTTTTGTTACCTTTGCAAGTCCAGCAGATGCTAAGGATGCAGCCAAGGACATGAATGGACAGTCCTTAGATGGAAAAGCCATCAAAGTGGAACAAGCCACCAAACCATCATTTGAAAGTGGTAGATGAGGACCACCTCCACCTCCCAGAAGCAGAGGCCCTCCCAGAGTTATTAGAGGAGGAAGTAAAGAAACTAGGAGACCTCCCTCACATGGGGGGCACATGCATGATGATGGCTATTCCATGAATTTTAACATGAGTTCTTCCAGAGGACCCCTTCCAGTGAAAAGGGGACCACCACCAAAGTGGGGGGGTCCTACTCCAAAAAGATCAGCTCATCAGGACCAGTTTGAAGCAGCAGTGGAATGGGAGGAAGAGCCCCAGTATCACGTGGAAGAGATAGTTACAGAGACCCACCTCATAGGGAATCCCGTCTTCTCGCAAAGATGTTTACTTGTCTCTAAGAGATGATGTATATTCAACTAAAGACAACTATTCAAGCAGAGGTTACCCAAGTTCTCATGATACAAGAGATTATGCCCCACCACCAACAGATTATACTTACCATGATTATGGTCATTCCAGTTCACCTGATGACTATCCATCAAGAGGCTATAGTGATAGAGATGGATATGGTCAGGATCGTGATGACTCAGATCATCTGAGTGGATGTTCCTACAGAGATTGATATGACAGTTATGGTAACTCATAGTGCTCCACCTACACAAGGACCCCTGCTATCTTATGGTGGAAGCGGTCACTATGATGACTACAGCAGCTCACGAGATGGATATGGTAGAAGTTGAGACAGTTACTCAAGTGGCCAAAGTGGTCTTTACTCAAGTGTACATGATCGGGTTGGCAGACAAGAATGAGGACTTCCCCCTCCTATGGAAAGGGGATAGCCTCCACATGATTCCTAGAGCAGTTCAAGTCATAGCACCAACAAGTGGTGGCCATGGAGGAGGGCATATTGATAGAGGGGGACGTAGAAGCAGATACTAGAAACAAACAAATCTTTGGGCCAAAATCTCCATTCAAAGAAACAAAAAAAGTGGAAACTGTTCTGTCCTGACTATCCAAGGACTACTAAAATGAAAATTTTGTTACCTTTTTAAAATTTCCTGTTAAGTTCCCCTACATAATTTTTATGTTCTTGTGAGGAAAGAAAAGTAAACATGTCTAATTTCATTTGATTTTATGACTTGCTCTCAATATGCAAATTTTTAAGTATGTACGGTTTGACTTGTACTAGTGTTGTAATTTTCCAAGGAAGTGTCCCTAACAGCCACTTCCTACCTGATTTTTTTTCCCCAGTAAATAAGGCAAACAATTCTGAGTTCTTCCACACACATCTAGCCATCTAGATGGACACTGATCTCCATTGAGGGATGAGCCATTTTACCTGTACAGACAAGCTAGTTATTAAAGGGTGGTCAGGGTATGCTACTCTTAGGATTTCAGGGTGTCTTCCAACTGAAATCACCATGTTCTCAGTATGAAAAGGCCTCAGTATGAAAAGACCTATGTAAGGAAAGTGCTGTTCACCCAGTAAACCCAAAAGCAAATGGATAATGCTGGCCATAATTTGCCTTTTTGACATTTCCTTGGAAATCTGCAAGAACCTCCTCTTTCCCCTCCCCCAGAAAGACCACTTAAGTGTGTGTTAAACAACTACAGAATACTAAATAAAAAGTTTGTCAAAAAAAATACTAAGTATAGTATAAATATACAAACCCATTGTATAGCAATTATTCTCAAATATTATATACTGCACACAATTGTGTTTGCTGTCTTTTTTTAATTTTAATTTAATTTTATTTTTTTGGTGGAACCGGGAATTGAACTCAGGCCCTCGAGCTTACCAGGGAAGTGCTTACTCTACTGAGCCATTTCCCCAGCCCCTGTGTGCTATATTTTTGTTCAACTGGCAGCCTAGTAGGTTTGTATATGACAGCATCATCACAACTATGTAAGTCATTGTACAACAAAATTAGCACAGCTACAGTGTAGCCTTCATTATAATCTCTTAGGACTATTGTTGTCTGTGTAGTTCATAATTCTCAGAAACATCGTTATGAACATCAGACAAATAGACTTAAAAGGGAAGAAAGAAGAGCATGAGAACTTGCATAGAGACTTGAAAAGAAAGTAATTGTATTTCTAAACAACAAATATGTTCAGTGTGTGTTACACTAATTTGAAGAATGAAGGCAAAACTGAAAATCTGGAGAAATAGATGTCCATAGATTATGGATAATTATAATTTAGCTGAACATTTCCCCTAAATACTGGCTTTTTCTTTACATGTCATTGTAAGTTTATGATTGTTGGCTATACAAATACAATTAAATTACATGTGATCCACCTTTGCTCTTGTGATTTCAGGAATTCAGAATGTCCTCAGCCTCTTTTGTGCAGTCCTCACAGAAAATAAGGTTCTCTTCCATTCTGCGAGTTTCCAGAGACTTAGTGATGCCTGTAGAGCCTTGGAATCTTTAATGTTTCCTCTTAAATATAGGTGAGATTGTTAATAATTTATTTATTCTCAAATTATACATTACTTATTGATAAGTCAAAGTGTCCTGATACAGTGATCTTGAACCACATAGGCATAGCTTATAAAGTTATGCCATTATGAGAGCTGTAATTCTAATTAAAAATGTTGGTTAGATTTGGAACTTTTCCAAATTGTTCATTATGAAATGTTGATTAATTTAGTGAAAATAATTTAATCTGGATAGTATTGTCAGCAACATTTAATTCTCTCTGAATATGGTTAGCAATGAAGTATTTTTGCTTTTTATATTAAAGGATTATTTTTAGGAGTTATAGGGATATTATTGATCTATTAATAAAAAAGACTTTTTTAGGTCTCTACTAAAGTATTTATGTATAAATTATATAATAGCTGAGGTTCTTTAAAATAATATAATAGAGCTGGGGTTGTAGCTCAGTGGCCAGCACGAGGTCTAGAGTTTGATTCCTGGTACCTAAAATACAGTAAGGGTAGATATACATATCATAATATATATATATATACATATATATATATATACTACATATATATAACTACATGTATATGTAGTTATGCATTAGTAATTGTCAAAACTGAATTAAATACCTGGGGCTTCCTTATAATTTTTTCCTTTCTCTTTAATTTATTTTTTTTCATGTGACAGTGAAAAACAAATTGATACCTGATAGTAATAAGTAGAATATTTTCATCTGACATACTGCTTAATCAATTTGAGAAACAAAATATAGGAAACTGAGCTTCATATAAACTTAAAATTTTAAGTTACCTCTTATTATTTCTTATTAAAAAGTTTTAAAATGTATCTTTCAGATAAAATTGAATATTGACTTTATTTTTGCCATTCCTATTGAGTGCAATTACTATGGCATGGTGGGTCACCTCTGTAATCCCAGCACTCAGAAATCTGAGAAGCAGGAGGATCACTGTAAATTCAAGGCCAGCTTGAACTATGTAGCAAGACACTATCTCAAAAAAAGAAAAAGAAAAAATGGTATTTTAATAATTATGACATATAGAAAAATCATTGCTTAGTCTTGAGAAATGCCTCGTCAGTGTTAATCCCTGATTTCAAGTTTCTGTTACAGGAGAAATGCTCTCAAACTATTAAAACTCTCAGAGATACTACTTAGGGAAAGGAGAGAAAGGAACCTTACCTGGTTTCCATTTCTTTTGTGTCTTGTTGTATTTGATTGTGTCTTGAACATGAAGAAATTTTTAATTGCTTCTTTCAAAATTTGAATATTAAGCATAAAATATTGATAATTTATAAACATAATCTAAAATACATACAGCATGAAAATGAAAGTATGTATGTTTATTGTGGAAAAACAAATATATATATATATATATATATATATAATACATTTTTTATTATTTCCAGCTATCCTTACATTCCCATTCTTCCTGCTCAGCTGCTAGAAGTTCTGAGTTCCCCTACACCTTTCATTATTGGAGTACATTCTGTCTTTAAAACTGATGTCCATGAACTTGTAAGTATTCATCTTTAAAATTTCTAGTTACTGAGTCTAGAAGTTTCTTGTTTTTCCTTAAGTACTGCTATAGTATTTCAACTATTACCATTTTCAGATCTGTTGCATTTATAATTGAAAAGATTGACTGGAAGGAAAACATCATTGGAAAGTCTAAATATATTAATTTTGCTTTATAACAAATATGGGAGATTTTAGAAATAAATTCATTAATATTTTTTGAATGTCCATCATGTTAGTGTTAAGCTTACCTTTCTGTATTCTTTATTCTTGTATATGATGTAATAAGGTAAATAAATAAACCATGAATTAAAATTTTATTTGTATTTATCAGTGCTTAATTTATTCATATTTGGAAGTAGGATCTGTCCTAATACTGAATGGCTAATAAGAAAGCAAAAAAATCTGAAGGAGATAGATTACAAGTTGGATATGAGCCCCCACCAAATTTTTTTTTTCTTCATTCCATATGAATAAAATATTAGAGAAGAAAAAGACATTTCAAGAATAATGTGTTTGGTTCTGGGTTTCATATTTTGAGAGGTACTTGAACAAAATAAAGCACTTAAGAGAGGGACATCCAGGATTGTCAAGAGTTTAAAAACTGTGCTATAATGCCATAATGAATTTTTTTCAGGAAATAATTGAATATTACTTGATAGCTAAAGGTATAATATTTAAGTAGATGTCTTGAGAAAAAGGCTGAAATAGAATCTGTGGGTATAATGGGCATAGAAACACATTTCTGTTCAACATAAATGTTTCCAACTAGTAGAACTACCTACCCATTTGTGTTTTCTAATGTGAATGGAGGAGTGTACTCACAAACATTGTAAGTGGACTGTAAGATCAGATTACATGATAATTTTCAAGCAGTACAAGAAAACTTGTGCACTGAAAAGATTAGGTCATATGACATTTTTATCCAAAAAGACTCTGTAATTCTATTTCTGTTTTAGTTTTTCAGCTGCTACCAAAGAATTACGCTTTAATGATACATACACAGTAATTACAGTTGTAATCAAATCAGAGATGTCATTTAAACAGCAGATTATAACAGAAGATTATTAAACATAATTATGATTAGGATCTTAACTGTATATAATATTCTTCCTAACTTTAAGTGTTGATATCTAGTTTCTGATTAACTTTGGCATTACATATAAAAATATGCACAAGTCAAATATATTCAGTACAGCCTTCTAATTAATACTAAATAGAAACACACTTATATGTTTGGATATAATTTTATTACCATTAAATGTAAATAGTTACTCGGAACAGGACAAAGCAAGTGTTGCCAAATAAGAATTTCTTAAAATTTTTAATGAATAAATAAATGAGAATGAAGTATAATCACATTATCAGTATAACAATTTAATCTTGCTAATTTCTTTCATATTTTTGTTATTTTCATATTTTTGTTATTGTAAAAAGGTTAAAAATTAGGTTTTCTGTGCACCTAAGTAGTACTCTTTTATATACTAATTTTTTCACTTAACTATTGTAATAAATATTAGTTTATATAAGATGTGGCTAGATTGCTATACTAAGCACCTAAAATATAATGGCTTAGAAAAAATGGAATTTTATGTAACAGTTATACAGCAGTCTATAGAAATATTCCCTCACATCAGCCTATGCTCCTCCATGAAGTCATTTACGGTTGATGCTTCATTCTTGTTATTCTCTCAGAATCCCCTCAGGGATTGTCACCATCTGAATGTTTAAGGCTAAACTGATGCCAGTTGCCAGTTTATAGTTCCAGCCCAGGGAAAAAGGAAAAGGACACGAGAGAACCTTACAGCATCCTCTGTCCTGAGCTGCTGGCAGTGCAGACGTTCTCTCCCACAGGCAGAAATGTAGTCGTGGGAAACACCTAATTTCAAAGGAAACTGGAACATAAAATGGTAGCTAACTGGGAAGCGAAAACCTGAAGACTAGAGATTCCACAATTGATTCTTTTCATTTTGGATTAATCAGGCCAATTTAATTTTCTTAAGAAATGTATTCTATTAATAACTGGTTAATTTTTAACATCTCTTTCAGTTAGATGTAATCATAGCAGATTTGGATGGAGGCACTATTAAAATTCCTGAATGCATTCACCTCTCTTCCCTCCCAGAACCACTTCTACATCAGACTCAAGCAGCTCTTTCTTTGGTATGAAGAATTATTTATTTTCTTGATTCAGATCTAAAACTCACAATTGGAATTAAAAATTATTAGTGTAATTAATTTTAAAAGAGCATTATATGTTTAAAACATATAGTATTGAAAATAAAATTATTTTCTGGGTAATTATTTAAAGGGTATACTTGGAATCCTAACTGAACATTTGTTCTCCACTTATTCCTTCATTCAACATATTTATTTAGTAGCTGCTATAAACCGCATCCTGTGCTAGGTATTGGAAATATATCTGTAAACATAAAATAGGCCTTTTCCTTCAAAATTCTGATTCCTTGAAAAAGGCCCTGATTTTGTTCTGTAATGTCCATCTTGCACTGGTAAACAGTGTGATATTGTCTTGTCAATGTTTTCAGGTTAGTACAGGAAGATTTGACCTCTGTAATATTAAATACCAGTATTTTATGCAAGCATGTTCTAAAAATTGTGGCCTGAGTTTTTCAGCTCAAAACAAATTTATTTTGGTTATGTTACCTTAATTCATTTTTTAAAACATTATTTCACTGACAGCCCCTTCTATGCTCAGTTATCCATCATCAGAAAATCAAGCCTTAGAAATTTTGCATTTTTTTTTTCTGTATTTTAGGGAAGGGTCTACAGGGTGTTCAGGATCTCACTACTAGATCAAACTCATAGTGATTCTCCTGTTTACAGCCTCCCAAGTGCTGGGATTACAGGCACCCATCACCATACCCAGTCTCCGTCTCTGTCTCAGTGGGCCCCGGGGCTGGGGCTGGCATGGCAGGCCCAGGGATGGAGCCCCTGGCCCCTGCACCTGCTTGCAGGCACTTTAATCTGGGGAGCTCTTTGGCCAGCCCTCTGCATTCTTTTTTAAATGTGGTTTGTAGAAATAAGCTGGGCGTGGTGGTAAATGCCTGTAATCCCAGTACTTAGGAGGCTGAGGCAGGAGGATCGCCACAAGTTCAAGGCCAGTGTGGGCTACATAATAAGTTCAAGGCCAGCCTGAACTACATAATGAGATCCTGTCTGAAAAATAATGAAAAAGTTAGAATTAAAGCCTTCATATTCTTCTTAATAATAATTTAGTCAGGGCTATTCAAAAATGTTTTATTTGGGAATTGTTTTCCTTAAATAGAAGCTGAGAAGTCTACAACTGCCAGGATGGGTTTTATTCTCAGAATACTTTCAGTTTTATATTAGTCTTTATGTTAGTACAGTAGTAATCTATTAAAAGGAGCATTTAGAAAAAACTGACTTTTCCTAATATATTTGTAACCTAGAATACAAGTAATATTGTGTCTCATTGCTGAGGCAAAATATCCAACATCCAAAGTTAAAGGAGGGAAGAGGTTTATTTTGACTCACAGTGTGTGGAGGTTTCAGTCCAGAGCTGGCTGGCTCCAAGGCAAGTGGATCACAGAGGAGGATTACAGAACAGAAACAGTCCATGGCATGGCACAGCGTGGCATGGGCAGGCAGAAGAAAGCGAAACTGAAGTAGCTCAGCATCAGAAGCTGCAGCAGCAGTCCCTTTTATGTCCTTATATTCTATCCAAGCTACACACCCTGAGGTCAGGTAGCACTAGCACCCAGGTAGTCCTTCCCATTATCCGTACCCAGAACCATGCCAAACCAGTCAGTGGATTAATTCAGTAATCATACATCCTTTATCCCAGCATCACACTCTCTATGCTAGCATCACACACTCTAGATCCAGCCACGTATAAAAAGTCCCACCCAGTACCACATGAGACTTTGGGGGACATCTAAATATAAAATGCAACATTTTATATTGTAATTGAGGGGGAAAAATACTAGAGCAGGATTCTACATTCTAATGCTTGACGTATTAATCAAATAACATCCCATCTCTAAACCTGTTTCCTGATTTTTATCTAAAAGATAAGTGATTTATACAGAGGTGAATATGTGACTGTTTTCCTAGTGCATAAACTTGTGATTTCAAAGATGATACCATCTAAAAATATGAGGTTTCAAAAGCTGAGTTAACTTAAAGACAATTATGGGGGACAGCCCACTCGGTTGCCCTTCCTGTACCCCTCTTGGACAGGAGCTTTCTTTCCCCCGATAAATATATTCTGCTCAAAAAAAAAAAAAGGAAGGAAGGAAAATATATGAGCTGGCCAAATAGCTCAACAAATTAAAGTACCTACGAGCAGGCGCAGGGGCCCCGGGGTTTGATCCCTGGGCCTGCCATGCTGGCCCTGCACCCGAGCTGTGCTGAGACAGCAATTGAGACTGGGTGTGATGGCGCGCGCCTGTGATCCCAGCTCGTAGGAGACTGTAAACAGGTGGACTACTAGAGTCCGATCTAGTAGTGGGACGCTGAACACCCTGTAGACCCTTCCCTAAAATATAAAAAAATAAAATAAAATAAAGAAAAATATTAACCATATAATTGTATAGATGACATGGTTATAGGAATAGCTGAGAACATAGTCTCTGAGTGATTGAAAAAATTTTGTTTCTAGAAAGCTTATAGTGATTAAATCATCCATGTGATCACTTAATAGGGATTTTAATAATTATCAGGGAATTATCAAAACTCATATTTTATATGTTATATATTTACAGCATTTACAACTTTGCACTATACTTTTCCCCTTCTGGACTGCACAGTTAAAAAGCATGTTCATTCTGTCCTCACATCTTAATTTTTTTAATTATACTAAGAAACATAAAAATAAACACTCATATCTGTTCTTTAAAATAATAAACTGCACAGACATGTAAGTCTGCCCCCAGACCATTCCCTTCCCAACGATCACTGCTGTTTTACCATTTAACATGTATTTTGGGAGAGCTTTCCATTCCCAGGAATATCAGTGCCTGTGTGTGTATTTGGGGCCTAGTTTTACTTTTTCTATGACATGTTTTTTCACTAAACATTTTGTCTTAGAGATCTTTCCACAGTAGTGTATACGACACTATCTCACCTAACTTATTTCATAGAGGAAATTATGATTTATTTTATGTACTAACCTATTAGTGTAATGCCCCAAACATTAAATATGGGTTTTACTGATATTAGGATATCTTACATTAAACATCTTTGCTTCAGATTCTACACCCTGATTTGGAAGTAGCAGATCATGCTTTTCCTCCTCCACGAACAGCTTTATCCCACTCAAAAATGTTGGTAAGAATTTTAACAACTAAACTTGATTCTTTAAAAGAGCAGTGGTTTTATTTGTAGGATTATTAGAGAAGCTGAGTGAAGTCATAGTTAGATGGACAGCATAGTAAAAAGTCCCCCCAAGTCGAATTTAGAACTGTCCTTGACTCTCTATGTATCTTACTCAAGGAGGCACCACAGGTTAGTGTCCTGGCCAGAAGAGTGGAGAGCTATGAATGTGGCCTGGGGAGGCAAGAGTAGGTACCAAACAAAAGTCTAGAGCCTAGAAAAGTGCCAAGTGTCAAGGACTTGCCAGGCAAGGAGTTTAAAGGAAGAATCTTACAAAAATGGAAACAATGAATGTTGATCATTGGAGAGAAACAAGTTTGAATAGTAGACAAAAAGAATTCACAAAAAGTATGAATGTATAACAGGAACCACTTTTTAACTTTTCCCAGTGCATTTCTTATAAATGTATGGCTGCTGAGACTCAAAGAGCTAAACATCTTTGACAACTAATTTAAGTATTCTTGACCTTCATTTCCTTATCAATAAGGGATTGACTAAATCTGTAACTTTCCTTACAGTTTTGAAACTGTGATTCTATTAAAACCTTGATTGTCAAAACAAATTTTTTAAATCATACCTTATTAAATAAGAACAGATTTTTATTAGTCAGATAAACTTTGGAAGAATTTTATAAGCTTTTAAGATCTTTTTGAAGGTTTTTCTCTTTTATATTGTTAATGTAATTCCTTTGGTGGATTAAAAATCAAAGGACGTGGGATATGTGCCCTTTTGAAACAGTATAAAAGAAAAAAAACTATGTTACTTATTTGTTCCACAGAAGAAAATTGGATGTACTAGAAGCAAATTTTGTTTGGTTGAGCATGAAGCACTGTTTGCAGCCTAACATATCAACAGTGAAATGGACTAGAAGCCCACCACTTGTTACTACTAATGAGACAAAATTTTAATAAGCAGAAACAGTCTTTCCAGCTTTTTTCCCTATCTTTTTTTTTTAAAATTATTTATTTATTTTTATTTATTACATTTATTTATTTTATGTGTGTGTGGCCAGCTCAGCCCACCAGGGGGCCGGGCTGGCTGGCATGTGGTGCTGGGGGATTGAACCGTGGTCCCTGTGCTTTGCCAAGCTTGTTTCAGGTAGGTGCTTTAGACCACTGAGCCATCTCTCCAGCCCCTTTCCCTATCTTTTTGACTTGATATTTCATTTCTAAGAAATCAGATTATCAGATGTGTTTTTTTCTTATATTTTCAGGATAAAGAAGTCCGAGCAGTGTTCCTTAGATTGTTTGCACAACTTTTCCAAGGCTATAGATCATGCCTACAACTTATAAGAATTCATGCAGAGCCAGTAATACATTTTCACAAAGTAAGATACTGTTCTCTTTTTTTTTTTTTTTTTTTTGGCAGAACCGGGGATTGAACTCAGATCTTTGCGTTTGCCAGTCAAGCACTTATCCTAATGAGCCATCTCCCCGGCCCCACTGTTCTCTATTTTATCTATCCAAAAAGTCAAGTCTAATGTAATAAAACCACTGCTTTGTCTTTTTCTAGCCATATATCTCAACTTTAATTGTTGTGTGATGAGGATGTATTTTGTGTTGTTATTTATAGTAGTGGGAATTGTTTTGTGGTATTGGTATGGGGTATTCTATCACCAGGAACACCCTCGGCTCATTTTTTTTGTTATTATATTTTGAGAAAGGCTCTCGTTAAGTTACCCAGGCTTCTCTCAAACTTTTGAGACTCCTGCTTCCACCTCCCAAGTAGCTGGAATTAGAGGCAGGCACCACCATAACCAATGACAGTTTTTAATAATATTATAGAACTGAAAGTACTTTCCTTTGAAGTATTTATTTATTTATTTTTTCAAAATTTTATTGATAAACAGCAATGAGACAGTTTCAAATCAAATCCCTTTGAAGTATTTTAATTTTAGTAAAATTTTAAAGTTTCCTTTGAAGTTGAATGTTAATGATTTTTTTCCTGCTATATAGACAGGTTCAGTTTTATTTCCAATAGATGTACTATTTCAAGATATCAGAAAAAAGTTTTGAGATAAATGTACTTTATAACAAGCAACTGTACATAAAAGCATTTATGCAGGCATCTATTATATTTTTGTTTTGACCATGCACTCATTATCAAATTATAAATAATAAATTATCATTTTACATTTTCTTTCTTTACAGACAGCTTTCTTGGGGCAGCGTGGTTTGATTGAGAATGATTTCCTCACTAAAGTACTCAATGGAATGGCATTTGCAGGTTTTGTTTCAGAAAGAGGTCCTCCCTATAGAACCTGTGATCTCTTTGATGAGGTATAGTTGCTATAAAATAAATGCATTATGTATAGGTATCATTAGAGTAGTAGTTAAAAGTAGAGAGGTAGTATTTTTAATATTTACCTAAAATTTTATAAATTAGATATCCAAATATTTAGTTTTATGCTAATCACATAACCTTGTAGGATGTCTTTGAAGCATATAAAATTTTTAAGCAATGAATTTTAAATAGCTGATTAAAATATTTTTTAAAAATATGACAGACTATGTAAGTTGAACTCATTTTTAAAACAATAATGCAGCAATTCCTTTATTATTCTGTGAGGAGGAAAGGATCTAATTTTGATGCATAGCTGTGACTTCAAATTGCAGTTATATGTAGTTCATCAGTGTCTTGGAACTAAAGGTTAACTTCATGACATTCTTACTAACCAGTAATCAACATTTGCATACCTCCCTTAGGAGATATGAAATATGTAGAAGACAGATTTAGTTTCTATTATTAATGGAATTGGCCCTAAAAAGGGAGCTATAAGGCTGCTATGACTCACAATAAGGATGCATTTTTCCTTTTCTGTTGTTAAAAACACCTTTGTATTTGTCATTTATGTTTACATCAGTGCATTTTGGAACATAAAACAGTGACTATTATTTGTTTCTGAAATGAGCATTGTGTTGGAACCAGTAAATCTAAGAGTTCCTTGAAGTCAATAAAAAACAATACTAAGTTATTGAGAGTATATTAGTGATCATATTTTGGTACTGGTGATTTTATTTCATGAAGATAAAGAGTCTCTTTGCTTCAGATGAGAATGATCTTTTATTATTTTTAATGATAAGTAAGAATTATAGAAGAACGATGTGTTTTAGTTATAAGACCTGTATAAAGTGCTTTAGTTCAGTGATGGCAAACCTTTTAGTTTTCAGTGAAACAAATAGCCTGCTACAACACACATGACATAGATTCGACAGGACTGCTTTAGTTTGGGATGAAGATTTGGGAGCAATTAATCCTGAGAAGCACAGTTCTTTCTATGGTTATTGAACATTGATTCCATGTTGATCAATTTTGATGTGATTGTACATTGATTATACTAACATCAGCTTTTGGATTCTGGACTGATTGAACATAATTGTCTTTAGAGGTTAAATGCTCTTCAAGGTCTTTTACAGTTCTTACAGTGTGTTAGTCTCTGATATTTTATTCTTAGTAATATTAGTTTATGTTTCTTTTTTCTTTTCTGTTCAGTTTTTCCTCATTCATTCCTTCTGGCATCTTCATAACAGCTAAACAATCAGATTGTTTATTTGCAGAAAACGTGTTTTCTTCTGCTTTTATTTTTGTATGTTATTCCCTTGCCATGGAGTATTTTGCTTATACCTTCACTCAACCATGATCCTCTGTTCACCATACTCAGATTTTATTGCAACCTCCTTCAAAGCTTCTAAAAGAAGTTAACTTTGAGAGCTGACTGCATTAAGCTTCATTTTGTGTCTCTAACTTTATAGGGAGAATATATATAGTCTCCTCTAGATTAGAAACAATGATAAAGTAAAGGCACTAAGATTGTGAGGGGCTCTTCCCTTGGTGTTTATCTAGTTCTGTGTTCTATATACATGATGACTTAAGGCATCAGACATAAGTAATTCCTGATTTTACTCTAGTTTTTTTTTTTTATATGGAACTATGCTTTTGTAGGAAAATAGCATTTGATCCCAGGAAAGGGAATCTTATTTAGGGCAGCCTACCACATGGGACCTTGTGGGTTGTTAAGAGGCAGTTTGTATTGTACTTTTTTTGTCCTCACACACTCATCAAATAGGCATGTAAGAATGAAGCCAAAGTTTGCCTTTGTATGGCAGTCTTTCTAAATCCTGGCCTGAAATAGGGAAACCATGGATGGTTTTATATGGTGCTTTGTTCCAATGAATATATCAGTTTCTAAAAAGAAGAATATTCATTGCTCCTATTCTTTTTTATTTCCCTCTATTTACCCTCCAATTTTTTCTGTGAGCACATTTCCTGTATCCTACATTTACAAGCTCATGTGGTTCTCCCAGTAATCAGTAATCAGTAATCAATAGGAGATAGATATATATGCATGGATGAGGAGGGAGGGAGGGAGGGAGGGAGGGAGGGAAGGAGGGAGGGAGGGGGAGGAACCTAAAGGTTGTTTTGTCATTCTGTCTTATTTTAGATGTAAGGAAACTGAAGCCCAGCAGTTTAAGTAACTTGTCTCAGTTTAAGTAACAGTGTCAACAGACTGGAGTCTGAGCAACCTGACATGAGCATTTGGTTCATGGTTTGTAAGTTAAAAAAAGTGTTTAGAGACTTTTTGAGTTTCTCTGAGTAAGAAAATTCTCAGAGTGAGGCCTGTGGAAGTTGCTTGAGTTCCAGAAATAGGGCTGCCATCATCAAAGAGAAACCAGCAAAAATGTAAGGATTCAATCGACCTTTTTAACCTAAAATAGAGGGGAAACCAAATAAAAATATGAAATATTTTGTTTTAAAATACTATTGTATTTTAGATGGTTTTTGATTTACAAAGTGTATGAAATGATCATAATTTTTTTTAATTCAGCATACTTTGGAGTTGATATTTTGCCATTTGATTCTTTTTCCAAGTTGGTAGCTTTTGAAGTAGAAAGAATTAAAGTTGAAGAAAATAACCCATTGAAGATGATAAAGCACATCAGAGAACTTGCTGAGCAACTATTCAAAAATGTAAGTGTATTTGTTTAAACATATATTAGTTTTAAAAGTGGTAATCAGGTGTTTCATTTGAGAAAATAAAATTTTCATCTTTCTCATGATAATCTTTTTGCCTAAGTATAT